TTTTTTCCCGTTGCTGATTTCTTTTTTTCTTTCTCCCTTCTTCTGATGAATTGCTCACCCTGCCCGGTACGTTCATTCTGTTGGACCTTTGGGCATTGTTGGCTTCACTGTCTCTTTCTAGGATATCCGTGGGAATTTTTTGGAGTGCTGGTTTGATGGCCATGGACTTCTTTCTTTCTTTTTTTCTTTCTTTCTTTTTTTCTTTCTTTCTTTCTTTCTTTCTTTCTTTCTTTCTTTCTTTCTTTCTTTCTTTCTTTCTTTTGACAGGGTCTCACTTTGTAGTGCAGGCTGGCCTCAAACTCATGGTGATCATCCTGCCTCAGCCTCCCAAGTGCTAGGATTACAGGTGTGCACCACCACGCCTGGTATCATGAACTTCTTAAGGTGCGGCTTTGTTGTGCTTCGTTCTTGAATCTAGGTTGTTGTGGTCGTATTACTATTCCAACCGAGTTTCTGATTTATTTCTCCGGGGAGTTGCCCTGTTTGAAGTTAGGCATGGCTGTGTGACTGACCTTGGCTAAAGAAATGTGAGCAAAAGCGGCATCCGGACGGAAAGATTCAAGCAAGCTTCCCCCTTGGCTGGCTCCCCTGACTAGAACGCCCACAGAAGCATGTGCTGAGATGAAGGAGCATGCCACATGAACAGAGCAGTTTGGAATGCCGGACCACCACACGGAATACAGATGTGCGCGAGACTCGCCTGGCCCCACAGCAGGCTTGGCATGTGTGAGGAAGAGAATGCTGATGTGCTGAGCTGCAGAGATTTGGGTGTCACTCAGCGTCACGGCATAACCTAGCCTACCCGGCGAGTCCGGTGTGTCTCGGCGGTTAGCAGATGTTGCAGAACAGGGAGAGGAGATTACAGCAAAACTAGAGGGGGAAGGGACGTCCCCCGAGGTCTTGGATTAGAGCTGGATGCTGCTGTGGACTGAACTGTGAGTCCCCTCAGATTGCTGCGTTGCAGATCTAACCCTCAATCTGACAGTGCCTCTGGTCTGACCCTTCTCCCCCTCTGGAGCGCTGTGCTTCGGAGACAGGGTCTTTACCAGGTTGGCTCTGAGGTGCTCAGTCACTTGCACACCGGGAGCCGGAGCTGATGTATTTCTGGAAATCCCCCCACAGCACCTTCGACAGGGCCACCTGCGCCGCCTTCTGACCCCCGCCCGCCCCTCCACTCCTCCTTCCTGCCCCTGATGCTCCCCTGGGAATGGAGTAGGGCGGCATCACTGTAGCCCAGTGATCTGCACTCCACCACTCCGCTGTTGGGGAAAGTGAGCCAGGGAAGTGCCGGCTTATTCCTGCACAGGAGCTCTTAGAGGAAACAACCTACATAGCAGTCCTACTCGCTCTCTTTTTTTTTTTGGTACCAGGAATCAAACTCAGGATCTTGTGCTTGCCAGGCAGGCGCTGTGCTGCTGAGCTGTATTCCCGGCCCAATCCTGCTCTTTTGTGAGACTGTTATTTCCGAGATTTTCTGTGTCTCTCTGAATTTCCCAGAGGCCAGGAGAAGGAGGTGACATGGGGTGGGGGCTTGCCGAGAACTTGAACATGAAAAACATGATCAAAACCGTATGGAGCTGGCTCAGACCAAATATTCAGCCACGCAAGAGTCAGCCCCAACTGTCTTAAGAACTGGGTGTGCTCCAGTGTGTGTGTGTGTGTGTGTGTGTGTGTGTGCGCGCGCGTGTGTGTGTAACAGGAAAGGCATGTTCAAATCTATTTTTTTGTGGATCAGAGGTATTCCGGGGCTTGTTGTGTGCCAGCCACTGTGCAGAGCAGTGTTAGCAGTGGAGATGGCAAGGCTCCGTCTTTTCCTCTCGGAGGCTCTCAGCTGACGGTCAGGGCATCAGTTGTCCTAAGAGTCCAGGAGCTCCCTGAATAGGGAAGTCAGATACTTTTAGGAAGGTATCAGCTGTAGGGACCATGAGCTTTCAGGATAGGAGGTCGTTCAGCTGCAGACCTTAAACTTGCAGCAAGCGCCATGTGCTGTGGCGATCTCAGAGGGAGCTGCAAGGGGAGAGGAAAATGTCTGCACAGTAGGTGGCAAGGCCTCCATGTCTAAGTTACTTGCCTGGCCACTGTGACGAGAGCTGCCACACCCACAGGGTCAAGGAGAGGCTTGCTTTGTCTTGTGTTTACAGTCCATGGTTGGTGGGGTGGAAGAGCCCGGGTGGGCGGAAGCTGATCATGTCATGGTGCCAGGAAGCAGGAGAGCAGGGGGAGCGAGCGGAGGTGGTGTCGCCTTCCAGGTCGCGCCCAGCAGCTGCCTCCTGCGGCCAGGCACCTCCTCCTGCAGCACGTTCAGCTGTCGTGGGCCAGTGGATCCATCGCTATAGCAGCTCTAGCACCTCCACAATCCAGCCGTCTTCTAAACACTCCACCTCTGAACACAGGAAGCATTTGGGGGAGCATCCTAGATTAAACCGGAACGTTCCATTTCCTTGTCGGAGGAGCCGAGAATCCGTGCTCCCTGTCAGAAAGCTAGCAGCTTCATCGCTGTCAGAGGTAGGCAGGCAAAACTTGGGATAAATGCAAGTGAGACATTTAGAGAGTTACAGTGAAGCAGGAAGCAGGTACCGATTGATGAGGCCACAGTGCTGAGTTTGCGCAGGAGCGGGCAGCCCCAGGTTGCTGGGCTATGCAGCTGGCAGCGAGCGAGCGATGGGATAGGCCCAGTGCCCGGGAGGGGTCGCTCTCGATGCGGTGGTGCGAAACAGACCAGGAGGAAGCCGGGGTGCGAGGCAATGGCTAGAGGAGGGTGGGGTGGAGCCGTGTGCTGCTCCCGAGGTACCCAGCCCCTCAGGCTTCCTTCAGATTCTTCATTGCTCAAGCTCCCAAGGTCAGGCTGGGGACTGTACATCGAAGGCGCTTCACCGGCTCCTGGATTATTTTCTGTCTCTCTAAACCTCAGCCCCTCTTTGCTCCCAGGAGAGCTCTGGGGATCCAAGAAGTGGGAAAGTTATGGCTATGCCAGACTTTGAGGGAGCTTACGCAAATTCTGGGGCTTACAATGAGATCCAAGGGTTCAGGAGCCAAGTCTTTATTTGGAAGGATTCTCAAAAATCAAGCCCCTCCCTGCTACTGACAGGGCAGAGCTGGAGCCTTAGGGTGGGGAGCGCTGAACGGAGTCGCCCAGGGGCAGCAACAGGACTGTGGTGTGGGCCAGGCCTTGAGCTCACTGAGTTTTTGATTCTCTCTTGAAACACCCAGCAAAGATAGCGTCTGGGGGCTCTGTCTTGATAACACCTCCCCCAGCGTTCCCATCCTCACCTGTCCTACCTCCTACCTCTCCAGGGAGAGGGTCTGTGTCTGCTTGAGGCAGACTGACTTCCTCTTGTTTTCGCTGGGGCATGAGGAAGATTTGAGGCAGTGTGTTCCCCTCACGTGTGTGTTCTCTGCCTGTGGGGTGCAGGGCATTCCATGGCTGGCTGGCTGGGTGGATGGATTCGTGGATGGCTGAATGGGAAGTGGGCGTGTGCGTGAGAGGATGGAAGGGCAGCTAGTGTGTGCAGGACAGCTGGGTGCATGGGTGCATGGATGCACGGATGCACGGATGCACAGATCATTTTCCCCGGCCAGCAGAGCCAAGCTCCCCAGCCATAGCACCTGCTCTTGAAAACTACCCCCACCCCTCCCACCCTTGTGACTCTGAGACCTGGGATACCTGAGGCTCCAACACCTGCTTGTGGAGCAGAGAAGAGGAACAGACAGCCCAGCCCAGAGAGAAGGGGCTAGCGCAACTGCCTCACCACTGCTCTGCTTCCAGTGCTTGTCCAGGCCTGCTCTGGCCTGGGTGTGTTACTGGCTGAAGTGTATCTGGTGTGGTGGCTTCTTTTCCCAGGCAAGGATGCTTCATCTGGCCTCTTAGCTGCCACCTGACCCCAGTGGCATGGAGCTGTTACTCCTGGCTGGATAGGCTCTTAAAGGCCTGAGTCTGGAAGCTTCTCCAGCACTTCTGAAGCACAAGAAGCTTACTCTTCGCAGAGCAGCGCATATTCCAGGAGTCACGGGCTCTTGTCCTCACACCTGAGACTCCTTCCTGAGACTCCCTTGGTGTCTGCGTTGCCCGAGTCCTACAGCGCACGCGCACAGGTACGGGGGCTCCTTCATGCCGAGTCTGCCAAGCTTCTCTAGCTGCTGCTGCTTTGGCCCCGTGGGCCTCTCCCCTGTATCTGACCTCTGGCTCTGTCTGTCTGTCTGTCAGTGTGTGAGAGATGTGACCCCAGCATTGCTCGGACAGCGCTGGACCTTGCTCAGACTGAGTGAGAGGAAGGCGGGTCAGAGCTCAAACTGTGTGGACAGAGGGGACGGATGGGACCTTCAGCCAGGGCTGCAGAACTCTTTCTCACACATTTACTCGTTCTCTAAGCAAGTGTTTACCGAGGGACCTTGTACCAGGCAGCACACTGGAAACCAAAATAGACATAATCCCTGTCTAGCACACATGGACGAACCAGCAAAGCTAAGCCAGCGCGATGGATACCGTGGGGTGGGGCAGTACGGGGGCCTTTGAGCTCAAGAGGGAGGTAACTCCCTCACCAAGCCAGGGGTCAGGGAGGGCTTCCTGGAGGAAGAAATGTACAGACCCAGAGGGAAGCCAGGGCCGGGGAATGTGTGCGGCAGGGAACGGGCCCGGTGGGTGTGCACTTCGCCCCAGGTGGTGGTGGTGGAGCCCTCCCCCGCCCCTCGCTCCCACTGATGGGCGATCACAGGGAAACCTGGCGCCTGAGCACCAGCCTTGGAGAGGAGAGACCGGGAGGCTGGAGAGCCTCGGCCCTTAGGGAACCGGTGGAGCTGAGTGTGTGCAGACGTGAACGAGTGGGTGATGAGGGGTGCGTGCGGCCCCTGGGGGCCGAGCCTGATCGTGTCAGGTGCTGCGGAGACTGCCGAGGAGAGCGCTCAGACCCGGGCGGAAGGGCGCCGGGCCTCAGGTGCTGGTCTGTCTCCTCCCTCCCCATTCCTGCTCCCCTGGCAGAGCAGACAGACAGCAGACAGACAGGTCCCCGGGTGCCAAGTGGCTTTATTGGAAGCCCTGCAGTCTGGGAGTGGAGAGGCCGTGCTTGCGCTCACACTCGCACTCACAGGCACGTTCGCACTCGAGGCCCCGGCCTGGCTGGGTCAGCGCTGGCTCAGAGCCCCTGCAGGCCTGGCCCTCCCTCTGGCCCTTGGTTCCCCTGGCCGGAGGTTCACATCCTCTGTCAGCCTCAGGACTCCCTGTGGTGCTGCCGGGGGCTAACTGCTGTGGCGCTTGCCCTGAGGAGGGAAGGGGGGTGGTCACGGGCTGCAATCTTGGAGGGGCGTGGTGGGCGCAGACGGGCTGGGAAGAGGCGGGCTACCTTGGCAAAGGACTTCTTCAGTCTCCGGATGATGCGCTCCACCCAGGGCTGGTCTGGGGGTGCGCAGAGCTGGTGGCCCCTCAGTGTGGTGAACCTGGAGCGAGAGCCAAAGCCAGAGAAAGTGGAACCCAGAGCCAGCTTCCTGAAGGCTCCCGCGGGGCAGTGCTGGGCATCGCGGCTGGGAGCCTGCTTCAGGGCTGCCGTGAAGGGGCCGAGTGAAGCAGGAAAGGGCGGCGCGGCGCGGAGGCTGTCACCAAGGGCGACGGGCGGGCTAGGCACTCCCACCCGACTCACACAACGGCTGGCACCCTGCAGCCGTCCCTGAGGAGAAGGTAGCGGAAGGCCCTGACGATGTTCCCGGGGATGGGGCGCTGGGTCACAGACAGGCAGCAGTCTTCCGCATCATTGGCGCCACCCAGGGCAGGGGCTGGAGAGAGGAAGCAGGCGACAGACGCGGACATTGAGGAGGGGCACAGGCCTAGGTGGCTGCAGGGCACCCGAGCGTGTGCGGGACAGCGGGGCCTGGCATCTGGCTGGCATGCACCAACGTGGCCCTACTGGGTGCTAAATGCAGTGCGTCCCAGCTTGGCGGGGAACCATGGCCCTGAGCCCCAGGGCGCCTCCTGCTGCTCTGATCCCCACCCCTCCCGGTCGGCTCAGTGCCCCTTACAGCAGCTAGAGGGACGGTAGTCAGGGTGCTGGGGCGGGGCCGTTCAGGGCTTGAGGAGTTGCAAGTCATCGGGCGGGTGGCACACACCCGCAGTCCCAGCTCTAGCAGACTGGTGCAAGAGGACCGCTTCAGCCCGGGAATTTGGACCAGTCTGAGCCACACAGGGAGACCTTGCCTTAACTTTTTTAAAAATGGGAACAAAAGAGTCAATTATAGTACTAAATATGTTTGATCTCCAGCTCTAGTGCCTCCCATTCTCCCTACCTTAAACAAACGTACTGTTCTCTCTCTTGCCTGGGAAACAAGGGCAGCGGGGAAAATGGGGAGCCAGAGGCCCAGGATATGCCCAGCGCAGAGGCCAGCGGGGTTCAGGGCACAGGTACACCCACATGCCCGGGGGGGGGGATCCCCAGAGCGAAATGTCAGCCTGAACTCATGGTGTCTCCCGTGACCGCCGTCCAGCAGTTTAAGGCCTCTTCTTGCCCCCACTCCCTGCCCCCGCCCGCGCCTCCCTTCAGCCTTACCCGGGAAGGTCCAGAGAAGGAGCAGGCCGAGGGCCACCAGCGGCGCCACGCGGGGGGCCATGGAGGCTGAGCCGGGCAGGCTGACCGCGAGTGTGAGCGAGCGCGGATCTGGGCGTGTGCAGGAGTCCGAGGCCCAGATGACTGCAAGCGAGCGGTGGGAGGCACACCAGTGTCCGCGTAGGGTGTGAGGCGTCCTCTAGGAGGCTGAGCATTCCAGTCTGGAGTCTGCCAGGCTTGGAGGCTGCGCTGCCTCCTTTTTTATAACCCAGAGCTTTCACTTTCTCCGTCCAAAAATTCCCTTCTGTGCCCTGCCGGGGGATTCCCTTTCACAGCGCTGTTTCTGTCAGAACCCGACCCTGCCCTCCCGCTCCCGTCAGCAGCTTCCCCCTCTTTGCTTTCCTTGGCCTCAGCCCTGAGAACGAAGCCCTTTGTAGTCTGGCCAAGAAGAGACTGCACTGCGCTCCAGGGAGAGGCTTTGCCCGCTCCTCTCGCGGCATCACCAGCAGAGGACTGGCTGGGCAGTGGAGGTCAGGGCTGGGGGCCAGAGTCCACTTGGCCAGCTTCACCCTGCCCTCACCTGTGCCCTCTCCTTACTGGTGAGGCAGGCGATGGGAGGGCTCCTCGGCGTCCTGAGAGCACCACGGAGCCTGCAGTGGCCTCTGTGTCGTCAGTGTCTCCTGGGAGCCAGCCTCTTCCTTGAGATAGCTGAGCCGAAAAGGAAACTTCCTTGGACGCTCAGGACCTCTTCCTGCTCCTTGGACCACACAGGACCCGCAAACCTCTGGGGCTCGGCCTCCTGTCTCCTCAGGCGTACCACACCCTTCCCCTGTTCACCATTAGAAAAAATCTGACACCTGGGTTAGATGAACAGCTGGAGGCCGCCTGGCCCGGAACAGCCCCCTCATCGTCCCTTTCTCTCCATCCTGGGAACCAAGAGGGGATTTCTAAGGAGACGGGCTGGCCAGTCGTTCAGACAAATCCCCAGATTTCAAGGAATTGACAGGGAAGGAATAGGAAATTTCTTATTGTTACGAGAATGACCAGAAGTCCTCAAAAAAGGAATTAATTATGGAGTATTCATTCAACCATCCCTATTCCAGTTCTGAACTCTTTTTTTTTTTTTTT